AACAAAAATACTTGTTGAAACTATGGCATGATGAAGGCTTGTTGTTTAGGACAACTTTTAGCAACCTTAAGAGAGATAACAATGAGTTATGCTGGGTTTATTTAGCAGACAGCTAAAAATATAAGAAGATATTATATTTTAGAAACTTGAATTTTCTATACTGCCCAGCAATACATAGAATATAAATGTGTATATAGTATCTACACACACATATATGTGTATATAGTACTATATATAGTAAAGTACATGTGTAATTATAGCATTTTCTTATTAGAAACCTTCATTATACACCACAATATTATTTTAATTCTAACCCCTTACTTTTATATGATAGTGATCGGAAAAAAAAATCCACTTTTGACTGAAGTTTTCCTTTTGTTGTTTTAATCCAAAGATAATTTAAAATGTCTGAGCAAAATCTCTTCACTCATGTTTTACTCACATGAGAATATTTAATATATTGTTAAGAGTTTTGTGTTACACAACTTCAAAAGTGTAAACTGCCCTACACCTGCATTGGCTTGGGACCAATTTGGAAATAAATTACAAAAAAATTAAATAGAAGGGGTGCCTACAGAAGTATTCCATGCACATTTTACAGTGCTGTAATTTAGAGCACTTTCTATAGCACTATACAGTTACAGAGATCTTAAACATGACAGAAGTTCACCGTTTGGTGGAGGAGTCTCCCTCCCTGCATTTTCCAAGGTAGGAGGCAGAAAGTGCTCCACAGCTGCCTGGGACTTCTCCACTGGTCAGAAATTTGACCCATTTTTAAAGTGTTATAAAGCCATGCACTTCTGTTAAGTCATGGCAATAAAGCATTTTAAAGGGCAAAAAGCAACTTCTGTACATACCCAAGCATATTAAAAATTAGAATATCTATTTTGCAACTGTGACATGGCATTTCCATTTTGTTTTGATTTACAGTAATTGTTTATAGGACTGCAAGAAAACATGAAAATGCATAACACTAACATTGGCTCTGCAGCTCTTGCTTTCTATAATGCCAGTTGCTACTGTGATTCAGGAAAGCACTTTGCTGTGTACCAATATCCACCCTTATTACAGTCATCCTTTCCTGCATGGATACACTTTTAAGTATATCCTCCACCTGCTTTGCAACTTTGGATACAGACACTGATATCACTGGGGAAATCGAAACAAAAAGCTCTTTTTTATTATTATTTTTTTCTTAAACAGGAAAATTCCTTTAATATTGTTGCCTATCCCCTTTTTTATGTGATGTGATGTGATGGGAAGGAAGAAGTGTCCAAGAAATGAATCCATTATTACTTTGCCATCTAAAGTTGTATCTCATAAACCCATTTCAATGGATGGTTCCATAAACATTTTTTAAATATTTTGTTAGATTCCTTTTTAATCACAAGGGGTAAAAAAATTCAAAAATGTAAAATTTACGCTTTTTTTTTTCATTTGGATAAAATGAAAGTTAAACACTTTTGAAAGTCTTACTCAGGGTTAACTCTAAAAATCAGAATATCAATTAATGAATATAAAATAAAAAATCAGAGGGGAAGACTGTTTAGAAGCTATTAATAACCTGAAATCCAAATTAAACTATTTAACATCCAAAAAGTTTTATTACAGAAGTCCTATGTTTTCTTTAAAAGGTTCACATTAAATACTATTCAGTAGAGGACACAGGATTCTACCCATATAAGAAATTAAATTCAAATTCTATCAGGATCTGTTAAAAGCAGATTGGAAATAACATATATTAACATAATACAGATCTGTAGTTCTTATGCTGTTCTGCAAAACCAACCATTCAGTGATTCGGTCTACTTCCCTAGTGTAGCATCCTTGTTGGGTAAAATCATTAATCACTACAAGAATCCCGAAGCTAAAACAACCAAATAGTGATGAAATCAGCAGACAAGGAAGGAGCCATTGTCAACCCAAACTGCAAAAATTAGATCAACAGACAACTCTCTTACACCAAGTATTGTAAGAAACTGAAAAAGGTCTTTACACCAGTATTCATAGGCGACTGGTAGGAGGTGCACGGGGGTACAGATGCCCCCCCTGGCGGGGCCACTGTGCCCCCTGATGGCCAACACTGATGCTGTCAGTAGGGCTGGTGCCCTCCTGACAGGGCCACCACCACTGGTGGCTTCTGAAGGTTCCCGCCTAGATTCAGGAGGCACCAGTCACTCATGCCAGTATTCACCCTTGAACTCAAAGATACCAAATACTTTCTCCATCATTTCAAAGAAAAAAAACTATACAAACCAATGTCTTATCTGCCTTTCATTGAAACATTGTACATGCCTCCTAAAATATACAAACAAGAAAACCTTGAAAGACTCATCATATCCAACTGCAGTATCTATGCTGAAGAACATTCAGGGTTAATAGCAACCATCATCTAATCCACTTATCACTCAAAGAAATTTTCTACAAAACATAACAGGATTTCTCAACAAAATCCACAACGTAATCTACCTTCCTGAGAAGACTGTATTTGCCACCAGGGACATCACCAGGGACCCTGGTTTCCTCTGATTGAAAAAAAAATCCCCAAGTTTTAGATTTTAAAAAAATAACCCAAAATCCACATTTGTAATATATAAGCGGTGTTTCATTTTGATCACAGAAATATGTACTTTTTTATTCCAAAAACATGCGTTTTTTTTTTTTAATCAGAAAAAACCAGGATCCCTGGACATCATTACTAACGCCCCCTACCTAGAAAACATTAAAGCCTTACTGAACCATGGGCAACTCAGATTTCAAGCCATAGTGAATTGCGTAACTCACCTGTTTTACCTCAGCCAAAAGAATTTTACCTTTTAACATCTGGCTCTGCAAAACCATGAGCACAAGGATGACCTCCCTCCAATTTGCCAACCTCTTCATGAGCCACCTTGAACCAGATTTGAAAGATGTACTGCTAAATCTGCCCTAAATCAACTGTATTTACTTGAATCCAGAACAAGATTTTTTCCACCCAAAATCAGCTTGAGGGTGTGGGAAGCTTCATCTTGGATGTGAGTACCATCCTGGGGTGGGAGTGGGTAAATTCCAGCTCTGGCCTCAAGCTCAGGGCTGAGGCTGGAGCTAAGCCACCCTCTGCCTTGGGCCAGGATGGCTCGTTTTTCATGGGAGAGGACATGTGGCCAGCGGGAGCATGGTGAAGAGCCTGCAGCCTGCCCCCTACTTGCCTCCCCCCATGCTTGTGCCTGCCCCCGAACCTCCTGCTCCCCTTCCCCTAGTTACCACTTCCCCCCTTACCTTCTCCGGTTCCTGTCCTTCCAGCTCCAACCCAGCCTTGCTGGGATCTGCTGTCTCTTCTCCCTGGCTGGGCTGGGCCAGCGTGAGGCCAGTATGTATTACATTGATTTATATATGGTATTTCCTAACTGGGAACATGCTACTGCCAACTGCCCTGGAGGAATAGAGGTGCAGCAGGAGGTAAGGGTTGAGGGAGGCAGGCGGCATAGGGGAGCAGGACACAGGGGAGATGGGCTGAATGGGGGACCAGGGGGTGGGGGAAGCAGGGAGTGGAGGGGCGAGCACAGGCATGAAGTGCAAGGGGTAGGGGACAGGCACAGGCACACAGAGGCAGGCAGCAGCAGGGCATGTGGCAGTGGGCAGGCAGCATGGAGGGCTGGCATCTCACGGATCTAAAATCTGTCTTTGCCTACCAAGGATTATCCAGCAGAGAAATTGGCTGCATCGTTGAATAAACCATGTGGATGCAACAAACTTACTATATATTACAAAAAAAACCAACCCCAAACCAACTGCAAATTTCAGAAGTCAGTTTAAATATAACAACTCTTCTTTAGTTTCTAACCACTTCCACTAATCATTGCTCTGTTACACAGGTTGGTTTCTCACTTCCCCTTTTCAGTGATCACTCTCTATCCTAGAATGTGGTTAAACAAAAGTAATTGTTTTAACTAATATTTAACTCAAACTGTATCTGCTGCTTTCTCAGACCTAAAGAAAGCTATTCTGCACCTAAAGTCTTATTGAATATCTCTCCTTACATAAATAATTCTCTTCAAGTCTCTTTTGGTGACATAGGTGTAATTTTGTCTCTCACTGAATTGAGTTGTCAGTCCTGAGCTTCTCCTCCATAAAGTCACAGGAGACCTGGTTTAGGATACCACCTGGAATAATTTTTTTGTAGTTTATACCTGTTGCTTTCACCTTAAGGTTCTGCAACATTTTTTTTCGCTTCCATTTCTGGTTCTGGCTTCCTCTCCTTCTACGAAACTTTCTCATTGTCCTTCCAGGTAGAAGATAGCATCCTTGAGATTAATTGGTGTCTTTTTAAGTGACTCATGAGAGGCATGAGTTTTTGTAGGCAACAACATATTTTGTCAGAAGCTTTCCAGAAAATTTCTGCCCAACTCTTACAGAACGACTTACAAAACATAGATGAAGGTCTTATAACAAGTCTGTTTTTTTGTAATCAGAAAGATAGAAATGACCTTTTCAACATATAAGAACAACCTAGTGTGTCCACTTAATTTTTTTCCAAGAAAACACCAGAATCTTTCTGTTACAAACAGTTCAGACTAAACCCAACTAAAAGCACTGGTAATACTCATTTCACAGTTTTAATATGTTTTCAGCACTGTTCCTCAAATGTGCTTAAAAGTCTATTGAATGATTTAATGAAACCAAAGTTTAAGGTTAAAAACAGTACATGAAACAATTCAGTAGGACGTATATTTGGTGGCAGGAAATTCACAAACAGTAAAACACAGAGCACAGAAGTTTTCAAGTCCATTAGATATCCCATTCCCTCAGCATTTTCATCAATGGACCCTGCAACCTAGCAAAGAAAAGATGAGATAATTCTTGAAAACCTGAAAACGTTGCTTTGTTTTGACTAAATTTCTTAACATCAATTTTTTTGTTCTGGCCACCTGAGTTGGTTTTGATAGGGTTATTTATATAATGAATGCTTCAGTATCAGGACTATGAATTAAAAACCATTAGACAAAAAGACAAATACTTACCCAACAGCAGGATTCACAATTCTAATATATTCATAACACCTTCCAATTATAATGCTGTCCAGGTTAGGTGTTGTACCTTCACCTTTCCATTTCTTCCCATCTACTCCTGAAAAGTCCTTACTGAAAAGAAGAACTAAGAGAAGCAAGAAAAGGCTGTTCATTCTGAATCCTGGAGAACAGAAGTCCTAAAAAAAAGATAAATCTTGAAGTCCAAATTGAAAGGATTAGGCTGCAACAAAGTTTTTAACACTTGTGATTATCTCTGTGACAAGTATCTTAGTACATAAATCATTTTAAGCAGTCACAAAAAATACATTCTGGTTCCTGGAGTAGCAAAAGAATACATCACTTCCTTGAAAAGGAAATGTTTTCAAAGTTACAAAGACACAAATTAGAAATTCTAATAGTGCCATCTGGTGACAACTGATTAGTATTACAATCCCGCTTAATAGAGAAAAGAAAAAGAAAACTTGTCTCGTGTTATTTCATAGTTTTATAGTTCCTAGGGTCAGAAGGGACCTGAGCAGATCATCAA